TCCACCACCATTATTTGACAATAAGCTTTTTCCTTGTATCAGTGTGTGTGTGTGTGTCATTTCTCACTCACTCAACGAGTGCTGGTAATGTATAATCACTTATCTTTCTTTCTGAATCTGTGTGTGTGTGTGTGTGTGTGTGTGTGTGTGTGTGTGTGTGTGTTGTGCGCTATTTGTTTTGTCTGTTTTGTATTTAATCTGGTCTTAAAATAAACCAATGTGGTGGCAAGACTTCCACCACCATTATTTGACAATAAGCTTTTTCCTTTTTGGTTGTGTAATCAAAGCATCAGCCTTATTTGAATATGTATTTTTTTAATTGATTTATGAATGAATATTTTGTCATTTTATATGCATTTAAGCCTTAATTTAGTTACAATTCTACATTTCATTTTGTTGTTGGCTTTACATTTGCCTTTTATGTTATAGCATGACGTATACTGTAAATAAACTATACCTACTGTCAACCCATTTTATATTAAATAGTTGTAAAAGTCTTTTTTCCCCTCCCCTCTTCGCTTTTGTGGTTGCACATAAACAAAATAAGCAAGAAAAAAAGACTTCCGGTGACAGAGGTGGGGAGGAATGAGTCGCAGGAACTCAAACTCACTCACTTACAGGAGTCCTTTAGGCATATAGGTCACCTGCTCAGAGCTAGGTGAACCATAGTGGAACTGAGCAAACATTGCACATTTATTCCAATACAACAAAGTTGTGACTGACTGTAAACTAATGAAAGAAAATACTGTACAAGTCACCTTATCAGTGTTCATAGCAAAAGTCATGTCACACTGGTCCATTAGACCAACTTCTCTGGTAAACGTGTTTGTAGGGTGTCGATTTCACACCACTTATTTTGTTCTTCACACTTTAGACAGATGTCGACTATGTTTTTGTAACTTCCTTTAAAGAAAAAAAAATGATTTAGGGCTGTTCAAAAAGAAAATAAAAGTGCAGCTGAATTTCTTTAGTGACAACTGCGGGGGCATGTCTCAAACTACACATTGTTGTTGATGCAAACAGGAGCAAAGAGCTTGTATTTGCATTATGAGTTTATGAAATTGATGTGGAATAAAATCAAGAAAGTGCAGTTGTACAACTAAAGTCTCTGATCACTGTGAGCACTATCATTGTGTACTTCCAACTTCACACAGTGTGCAATGAAGTTGCTTCCAGACAGTAGTCACTTTATGCTTTGAAATGTGACTTTTCCAGTTGCTCTTATGACTGTCCTGGCAATTCTGATTAACTACATTCACCACTCATTTGTATTTCAGTTGCTCCCAAAAAAATGTTCCAAACCCAACTAATGAGACAAAAGGCTGAAATGTAGGAGCACAGTCTGGTTGAAAAGAAGATGATGCTTTAAGCTGTACAATCGTCTTAAGAATAAAAAGAAAAAAAAAAACATTTTTTCAGACGCCATGGCGGAGCTGAGGCACCTGCCGGTGATAAAGTTGGGAGAGGGAGGCTGGGCAAACCTTTCAAGCACATGTCCTACAGGAGATGTTAACAGACAGCATCGTGATTGGGATAATAACAATAATCAGGCCTACACTGTTATGTGTGGCTGTGTGCAGACAGGAATAGGACCCAAGGTGCAGACTCCGGAGACAGACGTGAACTCAAAACAGCTTTAATGTAAAACTCAAAATATAACATAACTGGAAAAAATCAAAATAAACTTTAAACCGGAGGACTGACAGAACACACAGCTAGGTAAACGGTAGATCGCGACACAGACACAGAGAAACACAGGGCTTAAATACACAGAGGGAGCAATCAGGGAATGGGTAACAGGAGGGAAACACAGCTGGGGCAAATCAGAACTGACGAGACAAGGAAGCGTCAACTGAACACACTGAATGGTAAATGGCCTGCATTTGTATAGCGCTTTTCTAGTCCCTAAGGACCCCAAAGCGCTTCACACTACATTCAGTGATTCACCCATTCACACACACATTGGCGATGGCAAGCTACATTGTAGCCACAGCTGCCCTGGGGCGCACTGACAGAGGCGAGGCTGCCGGACACAGGCGCCACCGGGCCCTCTGACCACCACCAGTAGGCAAACACGGGGTTAGTATCTTGCCCAAGGATATTTGGCATGCAGCCAGGAGGCAGCCTGGGATCGAACCACCGACCTTCTGATTAGTGGCTGACCTGCTCTGCCACCTGAGCTACAGCCACCCCAAAGAGATAAGACAGAGACCTTCAAAGTAAAACAGGAAACACAAAACACAGACTGAACAAAGACACAGACTCACATGCAGGCACTACAGAGGGAACAGAGACGTGGGACCAGGGCAGACACAGACACTGACTGGACACGGGGATATAACAACTAAGGATACACAGAGACGCGAACTAGACAAGGGGATACAGCTGACAGGGGAGACAGAGCAACTAGAGAAGACAGACATAAACCAAAAGACAGAACTCTAACAAAGAAACAGCAGCATCACCGCCTGCAGCATCACTGCCTGGTCCCGCAGCCGTCACGCCTTCATGCGAGCCTGGTCCTGCCTCGCCTGTGTGTCTTCATCCTCGCCTGGTCCTGGCTCACCTGGTCCTGCCATTGCTACACCGTCCTCAGGTCCAGCTCGGCCTGTACCACCTCGCCTTTGCTGGCTGCTTTCCAGGCCTCTAGTTGGATGACATGGTCATCGAGGTCGGCCTTCTGAACGAGGTCGTCGCCCCTGAACTTTTCTTGGACTTGTGTTAAGCTCCAGTCCAGTTTTGTTTTGTATCAATGATGTATTCCTGGACTCTTGAGTTCTTGAATAGTTTTCTTGTTTTATGGACTATTCTGGACTCTTGCTCCTTGTTTTTTGTTTTGTTTCTTTTTGTTTATTTTGAAGGATTGTGTCTTATGTCAGTGTCCAGCTTTGCTCCTCCTGTCTCGTTAGTCCTATTTCTCCCAGCTGTGTCTCCCTCCGGTTGCCCATTCCCTGATTACCACCCTGTGTATATTAGCCCTGTGTTTTCCTGTGCTCAGTGTTGCGTCGTACCCTCAGATCCTGCCTGTGTGTTCCAGTTTGCGTTTTCATGGTTTGATTTCTGTTTTTGTTTGGTGCCAGCAATAAAGCTGTGGTCCTCAGTTACGTTTCCGTCTCAGAGTCCTCCATTTGGATCCACATCTCCACCTGTCCGCACACAGAGACCTGACAAATGTAGCCTCATGGGCAGTGTAAACTATCCTGTTGTTCAGTCTGACGTCACTAGCCGTGTCTGGGCCTAAACTCCGCTGCAGGTCCATATATCAAACGATCACTATGGCATTACTGAGAGTTGAAAAACTGTCTAAAGTCTTTCATCTTTAATAAAATGATCAGCGTTCTGCTCTACCAGGTGTAACAATTGAGTTTAACATCCAGGCATCCATGAAAACGGACATTTATGACATTTAACGGAGTTAGAAGTTAGCTCGCTAGCTTCTATCTAAATACAATATAGCATGTCCTGACTGCGGGTTTTGGAAACAAATTAAAACGTACAGCTCTGTTATCACTTCCAACATATATGAAGACAGAAAACGAAACAGCAGTGACGTTTGTAGGGTCACTGAAGTTTGGCTAGCTGGTATATAATGATGTGCTACGTGACCGCTAGCGACACAGCTATGTTAGCATAATATAAACAAGCTAACTTTTTTTCCACTCGATAAAAGTTAACATGAGTGTTTTCGGTGGTCAGGAACAAATGTAATCACATGGCAGGATGCTGTAAAAGGACCAAACTTGAGCCAGAGAACAACTGAGATAATCCATCCACAATACGAGGTCAGTCATTCATATACTGCTGCATGGGCTGGGCTGTAGTTACATCCTAAGGTTTTAAAAACTGAGCTTAAATAAATGATTAGCGGTAATAAAAGCCGAGGGAGGTCAACAGTGATCACTGACTGTTTTAGGAGCTTTTTGAGATTAAATATAAGAAAATACATAACATTAAACATGTTAACAACACAAAAGCCATATTAAACGCAGACTACTTTAGACCCGGAAGTAGGATTCGTCGCGTCATCACTGAACAACCGGATTAAGAATTGACTGTACACTGTGTTCGTGTTTTCCTCCGAAACCTGTTGGAGCAGCCTTTCACCGCCTCTCTCTGTCTCTCGCTAGCAAAGTTGACCCAGACAAGAAAGTAAAGCTAGTTTTCAATTATTAGCCCGACACACAACCCGACGTTTTAGCCAGAGGTCCCTTTACTACGGTAGGGAGCCGTGGACCTTTTTTCTATCTGCGCCGAACAGTTTTCTTTACGAGATCCCTGCAAAAATCACACAGCAATAGTCCTGTAGTTGTAAAAAGCATGATAATATATTAAGTAATCCAAAGTATTCAGAATACGTTACACTTATTGAGTAACATAACGGAATATGTGTATAGGATAAAGGTCTAATCATCTCTTAGTTTATCCAGATTGCACAGAGTGTATATTTGTTAATAATTTGAATCATTTTGGATAAGGATAAGTGTAAGATAATGGGGAATTTCAGTTTTTACTTTATAATTTGTTTAGTGTAAGATTTACAGTTAAATTGTATTTTTTCTTGCCTTATTTAATTTTTACGTACTGTTCCTTTAACACACGGTAACTGTGCACGGGGGGGGCGACGGGCAGTGTGGAGCTACGGGGGCTTTAACTAGCTGTGGAGAAAAAACGTTTCTTACCGTGTTTACAGTGTACAGGAACATCCAAATGGATCACTGTATTTCAAACGGTGGAAATAAATGTTTGCCTGTTTGTTTTTCGACTACAAGCGGACTTTGTGGATTATGTTCAACTGCACTAAGACACGCGTACGGCCTGACTACCAGCTAGTGCTTCCGCGGTAATAATATGTTACAAAATACGTTTTGGGGCATGTATTCTGTAGTGGAATACATTTTAAAAGTAATCTTCCCAACACTGACCATATGTACTTTGTTCTCTGATTCACCATTCTTTGCTGGTCTTACACTGGATGGTTCATTGGTATAATTTTATCTGTTAATCTGGTTTTACAAATTAAATTCTGCTTTCAACTGTTTAAACTGGTTTAAACAGTCAAACGATGGTTTTGCACAGTTTGAACAGAACTTGTAAGAATTCTGTGATTCCTCACTGTTACTGTCATGGAGATAACTAGTAACTATTTGTGATTTGTTGAGTACAAATGTAAATGTTTGATGTTCAAAACATCAAAGATGTTAAATAAAATACTTTTTTGGAAATTTAAGGTGGACATTTTTGTGTTACATTTAGTAATTTGAATAAAATCATGGTTTGTGTATTAAGCTTACAGAGTAGAACACTTAAGAGCACTCTAGTCTAAAAACGGTTACAGAATAAAATTGTATTTTATTATTTTTTGATAGTTAATTTTACAGGGAAAAAATGTTTTCTTCTGTCACAAACTTTATTTTACATGTTATTTTCATGTTAATTCTAGAGAAAAACATTATTTTTTCTTCAAGTTAAAACATTTTCTTCTACGGTAAAATATTGACCCTAGCACTGTTTTTAACCGTAAAATCAACAATAACAATACCGTGTTACCGTTAAAGAAGAAAATGTTTCACCTGTAATTTTACGGTAGATTTCTGGCAACCACAGCTGCCAGCATTTCACCGTAAAATCTACAGTTTTGTTGTTTGTTTTTTTTTGTTTGTTCTTTTACAGTGTAAGGTCAGAAAGATTAAGTTTCCTTGGTGAATAGTTTGTGTTTTTGTAATGGACTAAAACATTTGTTTCCACTTCTATGTTAAAAAAAATTGTTTTTCACGCTAGGTTGCCCTCTGAATAACACCTTTTACGTCTTTAATGTTGCTAATAGCGGTAAGATCGTGTTGTAACCTACATCACCTTCTGTTGAATTAAAGATAACAGGTAACATGAGCCACACAGCAGTGGGTAATGGCTGCGCGCAGTGGCTCGTCTTTAGTTGTTCGCACTTCTATGATAAAGGAAATGATTGAGTGTCACAGGCGACACTGAATATTCCGAGGAGGTATTTTTGCCCAAAAGCAGACAGAAGACGAAAGGCGTGATTACATCAACTAATGGGCCACGTGGGGACACAACTGTGGATATTTGTACAAGATGGAAGAAAATAAAACTGAGCCAAGGAACCTAGTACAGGTGTGTCAAAATATTTATGATTCTGAAGAAACGAAATGTGTGAGCATTTCTCTCTTCGTGCATCTACAGAGAGCTTTAAAAGCATGGATGTTTGTTTCCACCACGGAAGAAGTTGCCATCCTTAGTTCAAAATTTCGTTTTAGCTAAAACAAAGCAAGACCGCTTTATTTATATAGCACTTTCCCCTGTGTAATGTGCAGATATCTTAAGATATCGACTTACTCAGACTTCTGCATGGCTACTGTTTCAATAATTTACGTATTTATTCGTATTCATAAATTCTATATTTGTGCACTTCCCACCTGTTTCTAAAATTACGCAGTTTTAAGCCGAATTACAACTAATTTCATATATAGTTTATATTTTTAAATATCGGGAGATTCGCAGAAGACTTCACGGCCGTTTTAACGCTTAAGCTTTCCATTGGAGCGAATAGTGTAAAGGAAAGCGGATATATACGTTGCTTTTGCTTTAAACTGAGCCCCGTCCTGAGCCAATTTTATCTGTGAGCACGGAGGCTCTTCTGTGAGCCACAACGAATCTTCCTCCTGAAGTGGTAGCCTGTTTGGTTTTTAAAATTTTCCTTAAGGGGGTCGGCGACTCACAGGTAGGTTATTTTTTTTCATCTCGGTTCCTTATAGGAAGTTTTTCCTCTTCTTCTTTACTTAAACTGAAGATAAATATAGGGGTTTTTAGGTCGTTTTAGGTCTCTTCATTTCCCAGTTGGACGTAATATTGCCTCTTCTTGCACGTTCGCCAGAGTAAATGCCGACATCAGAATGAGTTCAAAATACGTTTTGGTTTGTTTAATGAAAAATGTAAAAAATAGAAATCCTGCAATGACATTACAGACCTTGCTTGCTTTTTTGTTTTATATTATTTATGAGAGAAAACAACACGTTCAAAGGAATCTTTAAAGAATGCGTAACATCTCACCGGCCGCAGCACAAGAACTGAACAAACTACATGAATCAACTCCATTGGACTGCTAAACCTACAGACTGGGCCACCTTTACAGGCTGCACAAGAAATGTGGGATAAACAAGCTACTTTAGAGCACGATCATGAAACGCTATGCACTACTACTAATTGCAACCCCAATACACTTCTACAGAAATGTAGCCACGATGCCAAAAAGACAAACCAAGGCAATTTGTATACAACAAAAGTATGATTTTGCATTTTATTATACATATTTATTTATTTTAAATGGTACAATACATTACCAGCACCCTAAAAATCCATTGTGCAGAAGCAGTTGTGATAATATTAAAATACAGAAAAAAAATTAAAAGTAATGTAAAATTAAACATCATGGCTCTCGTCACTAAGTATTTAAGTCAATACCTTATATAATATCAAAATATGCAATTGAAAATGTATTTTTACATATTTTCTAAGTGATTAAAATGGTGTCCAGAATTTTTGTCAACACCAT